TTACAACAGCAATCAGTCGAAGTTACGAACAAATATGCCGCTTTCCGATGACTCCTTCTCATCTAGACGTTAAATCTGATTACCTTACTGGGAATATATGTATTGGACGGAGTTGATGCTGAATATTCACGGTATATAAGAATTATACGAGAATTAAAGAAGAAGAAACAACCAGAAATCAAGTTTAGTTCGTTAGATTTTTAACTGCAGCAGCTCGTCGTAGAGTACTGCGACAAAAGGAAGACACAAAACAGGAAGAAAAATCGGTGCGAAACTTTATCTTTGAAGCATTGGAGGCAAGCGTATTATAGATTATTAGGAATCACTCATTTAAGTTCGTAGAGCAATAACTTTTTTGGGTGTCCCATGTAGTAGACAAAATAGAAACACTCTTTATGAACCCACGCCTATGTATTGGTACAACAGAAGAAATAGATCGGGAGAAGGCAGAAAATCATAATTAAAGGTAATCGTGCCTTGCCCTCAATACATTGTACACCAGAAATTATTTATTGAAGTTGCTTACTTAGGACCGTGTCCTTCAATCTTAAATCTTAATAAATTATGGACAATAGACGACTATTATGGAGGTATTATTCTTTGATAAAAATGTATGTATTATAATCATGACGTCATGTGAGTCTCCCCCCAGGCTAAAACATTAACAAATAATAAGAGAAAATAACTAAAAATAAACACGCTTTGTTCCGGACGAATAATCAGCTTTCTTCCTTTTTAGTGGGTAGTGTTTTGTTGCGAAAACTGTAACGCCAATTATAGCTCGCTTGCGCAAGAAAATTTACAACAGCAGTCAACGGTAAGAACAGATACGTCGCTCTCCGTTGTCTCCTTCTCATCAAGACGTGAAATCTGATTACCTCACAGGGGATACATGGTACGTTATAGTTCCTCTAATAATTCGATTTACTTGAATTACTCACTGAATTGATTTATACTGGTATGCAATTTGCGATTGAGCTAAATGTCGCGACATTGGAGGTTCAGATTCAACAAGTACTGATGGTAAAGTTGAGTTTTTTGTTGTTTTTCTGTGCTATGCGGCAAATGTCCTTCTCTAGCTTATTTTGTTTTCATAAGCAAACATTTAGCTGAAAGTCAGGTTGTCAGAGTCGTTAAAATAGTTATTTCCTCGAGCTCATTGCGTCGTAAAATTTCCAGTAAAATATTCACGAAATACTTGCATATTAATAGCTTTAAGTCGACCTTTCTTAAAAAAAAGAGTGCCGCGTCAAGGCCTGTAGTTTGGTAAAGAAGAACAGTATTAATATCTCATATTTTAATTCGTTTAGATCAATTACATAAGCAAACGTAAACAAGGCTTGAAAAAATATATCTATTTTCGTAAATCGTTCGCATATCACGTGACCCAACTAGCTTAATTATTTAATAGTGCCGTCTTAGGTAATTCACGTTAAGTAGTGAAAACTGAAACCATGCGCTGCGGGGAGAGGACCACAAAATGCCCAGGACCATTTTAATTTTGTTCCTATCCTGTGTGTTACGTTTATTACTTGATCCCATTCCACACATCAGGTAAGAGATTTCAAATATGCCTTCATCGGCTATTTTGTCATTCTTGATTACATGCCCTTTGGGCGCATGTTCTGCTGGGTTAGACGGGATTGATGCTGAATACATAGGGTATGAGAATTATTCGAGAATTTCAGAAAAAAACACAACCAGAAATCAAGACAGTTCATTAGATTTTAAACTGCAGCAGCTCGGCGCACAGTATTGTGACAAAAGAAAGAAACAAAGCAGGAAGAAAAATCAGTGGGAGGCGAGCGCATTATAGATTATTAGGAATCACTCATTTCAGTCAAAAAGCAACAACGTTGTAGTAGACAAAAAGGAAATACTCTTTGTGAATTCACGCGTTTGTATTAGCACAACAGAAGAAATAAATGCAAAGAAGGCAGTAAACCATAATTAGAGGTAATTGTGCCTTGCCCTCAATACATTGTACACCAAAAATTATTCCTTAAAGCTGTGTGTACTTAGGATCGCGCCCTACAATCTTAAGTCTTAATTAATCATGGCGCCCCAATCGATCGCTATTACGGAGGTATTATTGTTTGATAAAAATAAAAGCAAGCTGTTGCTGTGTAGCACTTTGACTGAATTGAGTTATTTTTGTTTAAATTTTAAAAAAAGTGCTGAATGGTAGTTTTTTTGAGACGTTTCGGGGAAAACCCTTCATCAGTCACAAATAAAAGAGTAAATAAACCAATCAAAATGTTTGTGTTATAAACACGACGTCATGTGAGTCTAACCCATGCTAACAATGACATCAACGTCTGATTAACTGCTACTGACCTTAACAAATAATACTGGAAAATGACTTAAAAACAAAAACGGCTCGTTCCGGGCGGATAATCAGCTTTCTTCCTTAACGACGCATTGTAAGCTAATTATAGCTCGCTAATGTGAGAACATTTACAACAGCAATCAGTCGAAGTTACG